GCCGTAGTCTATAGCATTCTCTCGTTCTACGTACCGCTGAAGCACTTTGTTCAGATGCATCCGCGAACTTGGAACGTTCGGCCACTGGGTTTATCGTTGGGTTTGTGCCTGCGGTTCAATAAAAGTTATCAATTACTGGCTGCGTCTACCTACAAGTCTCGATTGGTAATTTCCACTCGTCTGTTACCTTCACTTTCAGTGGACCAGCGGTTCGTAGTGAGACAATTTTTGTTACTCATATCCGTTAATGCTTATGAAAGCCTTTGTACACAATGTCTATACCGAAATGTTTACGGCCGGCTTAACAAAAGCTGCATGGTTAAGAGGACAATTAGCACATGGGTTGCATTATTCGCAAGTGCTTCCTGACCAACCAAACAGAATAAAAAAGCAAAACAAAGTACGTAAACAGAAAGAATAAGTTTAGGCTGTTGTCACGATCTCCACAGCCACTAATTGTACATAAAAGCCTTTCTGTACTACCTCCATGAAATTGTGTGGCTTTGTGACTGCTTTAAGCCATATCTGACATAGCTTGTACGTTGTCGCTAACAATTGGATTGGCCGATGTGAATGGTATGCTCTTCGCTCTATTGAATATTGAAAAAAATCTTATGATTGATTTTACTTAGCTAGTTAGGTAATATGTAAAAAGCACACTAACGAGAGGCACATGAGGACGAACGCTTGTTGTTGGTTTTATTTGTTTGCGTTTAATCACTTTTTTCTAAGTGTTTTTTTTTGCTTACCTGAAGCACCCTATATACTATATGCGTCTGTCTTCTTGTGCGTACCTCCCGGCCTTTCCTTTCTTACTCTCTCTCTCTCTTCTTGTGCGTGATGTTGCGTTTATTCGCACATTGTAAGTCTTCATTTTCTTTTCTATTTTTATTTGCGTCCTAATTACGTTTTTATTTAGCAAATGCATTAAAGGTATGCGCTTCTATTTTCTTAGTCAGTTTCAGTTATACTTATTCTGTTTACAAACATTACTATTTTGTTTTTGTATTTGAATGATGCTATGTGATCAATGTAAATTGAAGTTGAGGAGGTGTTGTAACGCATGTCCGAGAATAATTTTCGTCTCGCACTCCACAAGAGTGGCATTGTGTCTATGTTGTTAAACTTAAAAACCAAAACAACTCCTGGCCCTGACGACATCCCAAATGTGTTCCTTAGGCGATACGCCGAAACTACTGCTAAATTCTTGGTTGTGTTATTCAGAGAATCTTTGCTATGTGCAAAAGTACCTAGTGATTGGAGAATGGCTCGAGTTGTCCCAGTCTTTAAGAAATGCGATCGATCGTTAATACAGAATTACCGCCCCATATCACTGACGTCATCATGCTGCAAAATTTTCAAGCACATAATCACAAGTCGCATTGATGAATTCTTAGAAGAAAAGTCGACACTAACCACTTGTCAACAAGGCTTCAGAAAAGGCTGCTCGACTATCACACAATTAGTTATAGTAATCGATTCATTTGCTAAAGCTTTGGACGCTAACGGTCAAATTGATGCTGTATTTTTAGATTTTACTAAAGCCTTTATTAGGGTCATTCATGAAAAATTAATTCTAAAGCTAAGAAACATTAAGCTTCCTGATATCTTAATTTCCTGGATCGCAGACTATCTGAATAACCGTAAAACCGTAAACAGTATGTTTCAGTTGATGGACACAACTTGGGCTGTCTACCAGTTACCTCAGGTGTGCCCCAGGGCAGTGTCTAGGGTCCATTACTCTTTCTTTTACATATTAATGACATCGTCACCGTCGTCACACCTGGAACACAAAAAGACTGTTTCCAGACGACTGCGTTGTGTTTCGTACAATTAAGTCTGTGGATGATCAGAAGGAACTCGATTTCAGCTTGAATAACATATTTTTGTGGTGTGAAAAATGGGGCATGGCTGCAAATACCGACAAAACAGTCTCTTTTCGCATAACGCATAAAAAGAATCCCCTCGATCACGTGTACAAAATGGGATCTGTCCCATTAAAACAAGTTAATAGCTATGAATACCTTGGCGTAACCTTCACTGCCAATTTATCTTGAAATCTTCATGTTGAGAACACATGCTCTGCTGCATTCTGCAAACTAGCTTACCTGCGACACAAACTCAGAAATTCTCCATCAAACGTTAAGTTACTCGCCTACCTAACCTATATCCGCCCAAAACTAGAATATGCCTGCGTAGCATGGGACCCGTACACTAAGCTCAATATCAACAAACTTGAGAGAATACAAAGAAAGTCGGTTCGTTTTATTTATTCTAAATACAAACGTTCGGACTCCCCGTCACAGCTAATGTTGGCTAATGAGATTCCTTCTCTTGAATCAAGAAGACAGAAGTACTGCTTGGAATTTTTACATAATCTAATCGACCACAAATTCACCCTCAACTCTTCGCTTTATGTAAGCCCTCTTTCCATAAGACAAACACGGCACCATCACTCTGATGCATTAACGCCTATCTATGCTAGGGCAGACACGTATAAGTTTTCCTTTTTTCCAGGGACCATTTCTGAATGGAATTCTCTGCTCGCACCATAAAACTTGTGACGATGGGTGACATGTACTGTTCTGTACCTTTTTTTATGTGCAATCTATCACAATTTTGTTAAGTTCTTTTGAATATGTTTGTATAGGCACTTATATATTAGTGTGTATTTATATGTGTGTGTATATGTGTATGTATATATGCGTGTACATATGTGTGTATATGTGTATATATAAATGTGTATACATATGTATATATAATGTATATATATATGTGTATGTGTGTGTATATGTGTATGTATATAGATATATATTTATGTTTATTTGTGTATGTATATACATATGTATGTTTTAGTTTTGTGTACAATTATGTATGCCCGTCCTGCAAGGACCACGACGTGGTCTGCAGTATGTACTAAATAAATAAAAATAAATAAATAAATAACTGAATAAATAAACATAAATAAATAAACAAAAATCACGGTATCATTTCTCATATGGTTCAGACGAATCTAACTGGAGGTTTGTTGCCTCTCTGACCTCTGAGTCAGTTGTCTGGATCTGTTCCTGAAGCTGTCCTCCCGTGCCCTAGTATTGCATCGCCGCTGGCATTGGCTCGTCTCTGACGAAGCGACGACATCATGTAATGAAGTCATCATGATGCGTTATAGCGGCATCGATGCAGTGTCAGACGTTTTGGCAATTTGTACGTAACGACGACATCACGGAATACGAATGGCGTCATCATTATGTCATCCACAATGCCCTGACACTTTTTACTTCGTTTTTGTTGGAGCCGGTGGTCGCTCTCCGTGCTTCGTTGGGCGTCTAAGCAATGGGAAGAGAAAGTGCTGTGTCCAACAAAAAAAAATGAGCGCTTAAATTAATTTTATTTCTTAGATTCGCATTTAGGGTGTCCTTCCCTCATACTTGAAACAGTGAAGCAGTGTGCGATGGCTTGTTGGTCAGCTGTTAGCTCGTAAAATGATCCCGTGCTAGAAAAAAAATTTCACGGTGGGGCTTGTACGATTATGGTGGCGCAGACTCACCTTTACTTCTCTGTGGAGACCAAAGCTTTGACGACAAGTCTCTTCAACCCTGTTGTTAATGGCCCCGCCGCGGTGGTCTAGTGGCTAAGGTACTCGGCTGCTGACCCGCAGGTCACGGGTTCGATTCCCGGCTGCGGCGGCTGCATTTCCGATGGAGGCGGAAATGTTGTAGGCCCGTGTACTCAGATTTGTGTGCACGTTAAAGAACCCCAGGTGGTCAAAATTTCCGGAGCCCTCCACTACGGCGTCTCTCATAATCAAATGGTGGTTTTGGGACGTTAAACCCCACAAATCAAATCATCAATCAACCTGTTGTTAATGCTCCAGTCCTGTGCTGCACACTCACAGCGTAGCTAAGCGAAAAAAATGGCCTCCCTAGAGCCCGCTATTCACTGCCTAAGGGCGCCGAATTTAAGTACGCTAGGAAGGCGCCCGGCGCAGTGGTCATGGTGCTCAGCTGCTGACCCTAATGATAGAGGTCCGTGTGCTTCGCGATTTGAGCGCACGTTAAGAACACCAGATGGTTGAAATAGCTGGAGCTCCTCACTACGGCGTCTCTCACATTCATATCATGGTTGTGATACCTGGTGCGTAAATGATCAGGTAATAGTATTGTTATTATAACGTGTGAAAGACACGCACAATGCCACAAATCCCAATTTTCGGCATCTAGGAACAATTTATTATGGCATTTTTTTTTTGTAGTCTGCGGACAAGCGAGGTACCAATACACGTCGGTCAGGTGATACGTGCACGGATTGGATTATTTAGATCATGATAATGCAGAATCGTGGCTAAACCATTCGTAATGGCTTGGAACTTAAAACCAATAAATGACCCACTCGTTACGCATTTTGCACTTTGTGAAACCTGCTTGCAATTTCACTCTCCTACTAGGCTGAATATAACGCTATCCCTTGCCTGACATAGCGCCTGTAAAGGTTTTTTTTGCGAAAGAATTTCAAGCAGTAGCGTTGCTCTGTGGTAAAATTCTCGATTGTCATGCAGGAGGCCCAGGTTAAAATCCTATCAAAACCTGAATATTTTGTCTTCAATTGGCTTTTTTTTTTCATTTTGTGCAATAGCGGTACCTAAATACAATTATGAATTCGTGAAATGCCTTCGTGATCATTTTTTGGACCCGTCTTGTGTACATGCTAAGCATTGCTTTACATTGCTGTGTAAGAGACGGGATAAATTATATCTGCATTATAATCTCATAAATTCTGGCTCGCTATATACCACGTAGTCTCGTAGATACTTACACTAATCTTTGTGGCAGGTAATTTTTTTGCTGCGTCTGTAATGTGAATGCGATAACGTTTGCTTTTGAAATAGCTTATACAAGAATCGCTGAAACACGGTTGTGAAACACATAAAAAACACTCTGCACGCTATGTGCAGAATGTCTTCGCCGACAGCATTCAATTTCTTCGCCAGCAGCATTGAATTTTGGAGTGAAAAATATGTAAATGTTTTTATTTATATGTACAAAAGCTTCTATCATAAATACTTACACTGGGCACGCCAAAAAAAATGTTTCGCCATGCGCTGAATTACACCTGGTTTCTTGATAATCGGAATTGCCGAGGAATTCCTGAAAAGAGATACAATGGACACAAAATGTATGATAGGACATTTCAGCGACGACAACCTCGCATGAGGTACGTCAACACAGATAAATGTATAGAGCTCTGAGCCTTGCAAAGCATGTAATAGTATGTGTGCTATGCCTGGAAAGGCATCCTATTTCATTTCTTGTAGCAATAGAAGGATCTTTCAATATCGTTAATAAATTCTCAGGAAACAAATACTCTAAGTACTCGGAGAAAACTCCTAGAAATTTTATGGGGTGTGTAATTACGCCGTTTTCCTGTGTTCCTTCACTGAAACCAGTAATGCTGAATACGATTTCGAACGAGTGAGGCTGTACAAAGTACACCACACCTGTCTAAATAAAGCAGAATATCACAGTGTGTTACAGCATAACACGAGACATAGCGCCACCTTATTTCACTTGCAGCCTTTCGCTTATTATATTCGATTATTATGTTCAAGTTGGATCTAACCACACTATTCTATTATGTCATTAGCCTGATCATTTTGATGTCAGCTATGCCTATTCAGCTTATATATGTTTTTAGTATAGAATAACCAAGGATGGAAATCCTGAAGGCCCATTTTAGTTTTGTTCGACAAAACTTCAATGAATTCAGGCACATTATTAAGCCAAGAAATGTATAGAACTCCTTAAATCTGCTACTCTAGGTGTGTTACAACAATCGCGATGTAGTTGGGAAAGATGTATTGTGAACGAAAAGACTTTTTTTCGCCGGAAGGCCACGTATTAACCACGTTTTGAAAATGGCTGCAGGTTTTCAAGATGTATTTATTGATTTATATGTGGGGTTTAACGTCCCAAAACCACCATATGATTATGAGAGACGCCGTAGTGGAGGGCTGCGGAAATTTAGACCACCTGGGGTTCTTTAACGTGCACCCAAATCTGAGCACACGGGCCTATGACATTTCCGCCTCAGGTTTTCAAGATGGTTGCAGGTTGATAGGGAAACGTTCAAGCCTGCAACCTTTGCTTTATTGTATAGAAATTTATGTGTGTTTAAAACTTTCATATCACGATACAAAGTTTCTGACGCTCCTTGATGCAACGGTTTTTGGCTTTGCCAACAGTAGTTTTAGCAACAGGGATTTTGCCGTTTTGCCTTTTTAACCTTTGGCGAGGCTCCTCATGTATTCATGTAGGTCTGCTTTTCTCTCACCAACACCGATGCGAAGTGTGAGAAAAATGAAGTAAAGGTTGATTTGTAAATAAGTGATGCTTCGTGCACAATGTTACCAAATTTGGCTACATTAACCTAAGTATTTGAGTCATGCAGCATATATTTAAAGACTATTCAAACAAAATCCGTGATTGCTTGAATGCACGCATCATACTGTTTCGACGTTTAGAAGAACATGCTTCTTGTTAACTGACTCCGAACACACCGAGGGCACTTTGGTGGCCTCAATGCGCACACAAACACATATGTTCATCAGCAGCAGTCCCCTTTGATGGATCAGTGGCTAGTGTGCTCAGCTGCTGATCCAACGGCCATGGATTTGGTCGTCGCTATTTGGGGGGTCTTAATAGTAGAGGCTCATGTACTGTGCGATATTAGGTCAAGTTAAAGAACACCAGGTGGCCAAATTTTCGGAGCCCTCCACTATGACTTCTATCAAATTTCCATTGCGATTTTGAGACATAAAACGCCACATCCTATTAAATTATCAGAAGCACTCAAGTGCGTTGATATTTACCATGGTGATTCTGCCGCACATTTGAGTTTTGTATATGAAACAAAATCAAAATAAAAAATCAGTTACCATGAGCTCAGGCATGCGTACATAGCTCTTTACAGAATTTGTACTGCACTTACTGCTGGATTAGGCACTTCTACTGAAGGTAAATTACTCACACTTCTTTTTTCGAAGAAGGGTCGTGTAAGCATCAGGAGTGCCGAGACCATAGCCATAGTTCAGTCCATAGTCAACAAGACCATGACCGAAACCATAGTGGCCAACACCGTACCCAAAAGTGCCGATTCCGTAGCGGTAGGCTGGGATATACTGGTTAGCGGCATGTTCAACAGTGGCCACGGTTGGTGCGGAGTGAACAGTGGTAGTTGAAACTGCTGGAACAGCCTCAATGTTTGCGAAAACCGGAGAAGCCACCACAGCACCCACAGTAGGGTCAGCATGGTAAGTGGTTGTAGTGATAGCTGGAGCAGTGGCAACAGATGCCACAGGGGCAGCGGCTACTGTCGCAACAGCTGAGGGTGTATGGTATGTGGTTGTGGCGACGTCTTGACCAGCGGCCACGGAGGTAACCGGAGCCGGACCAACAGATGTTATGGCTGGAGTATCGTGGTAGGTTGTCGTAGTGACAGCAGACACCGGAGCAACAGGGCCACTCGGGGCAGCAGCAACAGAGGGAACACCCGGAACAGCATGATAGGTCGTAGTTACAGCCGGTGAAGCGGCAATAGGAAGCACTGGAGAAGCCGCGACTGAAGCTTCAGCTGGAGAAGAATGATAGGTGGTAGTGGAGGTGACAACAGGAGCGTTGGAGACGGAGGCAAGTGGGGCGGCTGCGACAGCTGCAATGGCTGGACTAGACTGATCAGTGGACGTAATGACAGCAGGAGCAGCAGCCACTGAAGCAGCTGGAGAAGCGACGTTAGTGACAACACTTGGAACAGCTTGGTAGGATGCCGTGACTGTTGGCGATGAGGAAATGGAGACAACGGGAGCTGCCGCAACGGGGGCTGCAGCTGACGAAGAGTGATAGGCGGTGGTAGTGACCGCAGGAGATGTCAAAACTGGAGCAACAGGGGCCGCAGCGACAGTTGTTATAACGGGAGAAGAATGGTAGGTCGTTGAAGCAATGGCTGGAGCAGGGGCTGACGCTGGTGGGTTGCTGTATGTTGTGGTGGAGACCCTAGATACCGTTGGTGGTGCAGAGACAACGACTGGAGAAGCTTGGTACACCTTACTGACTGCTGGAACTGATTGGTATAATCTTGTCAGAGCTGGAGAGGTCTGGTAGATTCGAGTGATAGCTGGTGCAGATGTGTAAGCCGCGGCCACTTTGGCAACTGCTGGAGACATGTATGTGTTGACAGCTGGTGCAGTCGCCACAACTGCAACTGCAGGGGCGTCAGAATACGTGGTGGCCACTTTGGCAACAGATGAAACAGGGACAACAGCTGGAGCGGAGTTGTACACCTTAGTGAATGCTGTGGAAGTTTGGGAAATCCTCGTGATAGCCGGGGCAGAGGCATAAGTGGTCGCGGCCTTTGTTACTGCGGGCGTCGTGTATGTCGTAAGAACTGGAGCAGCAGCCACTGGAGGTGACTGGAACACGCGTGTGACGGCTGGTCTCGCGACATAGCTAGCGGGAACTTGGGCAATGGCTGAAGCAGTAGCTACAGCTGGTGCAGACTTATAGAACCTTGTAAATGCTGGGGCATTCTGGTAGACCCTGGTGATGGCAGGGGCAGATGCATAGGTTGTGGCAACTTTGGCTACTGCAGGGGCTGTAACAAACGCTGGTCCTGTTTTGTACACATTAGTTATAGCTGGGGCATTCTGATAAACTCTCGTAACACTTGGAGTAGAAGAATAGGTGGAGGTGACCTTAGCCGTGGCTGGAGCAGTATACGTGGAGATCACTGGACCTCCTGCCACGAAGGGTGCGGATTGGTAAACACGGGTCACTGCAGGTGAAGAAGGATATGTGTTGGATACTTTAGTGACAGCGGGGGCAGCCACAGCAAAAGGTGCTGACTGGTACACTTTAGTCAACGCTGGTGAAGCCTGGTAGACTCTAGTAATAGCTGGGGCAGATGCGTAAGTTGAAGCCACTTTTGTGACTGCTGGAGCCGTGTATGTGGTTACTGCTGGGGCAGCAGCCGCAAGTGGAGTCGACTGATACACGCGTGTAACAGCTGGTGTTGCGGTGTAAGTAGTAGACACCTTCGTAACTGCTGGACCAGCGGCAATGACTGGAGCACTTTGGTAAAACTTCCTCACAGCTGGCGCGCTTTGAAAGAGTGTAGAAAACGCAGGAGAAGTTGCGTATGTTGCCTTAACCTTGGCAATGGCTGGAGCAGAATATGTGATGGCAGGTGGAGCTGCTGCTAATGGGGAAGCTTGGTAGATATCTGTGATGGCTGGAGAAGTAGCGTAGGGGGCAGACACTTTAGTAACAGCTGGAGCTGGAACGAATGCCGGAGATGACTGGTAAACCTTGGTTGTAGCTGGCGCACTCTGGTAAATTCGAGTGATAGCCGGGGAAGCAGTGTATGAAGTGGCAATTTTAGATATAGCTGGCGCAGACTGGTAGACCCTGGTCACGGCAGGAGTAGCTGCGTATGTGGTGGAAACTTTAGAAACACCTGGACCTGTGGCCAGAATAGGAGCAGATTGGTACGTTCTCGTCACAGTTGGAGCACTTTGGTAAATCCTAGATATGGCTGGGGCTGTGGCATAGGTGGTGGCAACTTTGGCAACAGCAGGTGCAGACTGGTAAATGCGAGTGATGGCTGGGGTGGTGCTGTATGTGGTCGAAACTTTAGGCACAGCTGGAGCTGCAGCCACAAATGGAGACGCCGACTGGTATATCCTTGTCAAAGCAGGGGCATTTTGGTATACTCTAGTTATGACCGGTGCAGTGGCATAGGTGGTGGCAACCTTTGCAACAGCTGGAGCGGCATATGTGGTAACCGCTGGTGCGGTAGCCACAACAGGTGTAGAGGGGAATACCTTCGTCACAGCTGGAGCACTCCGGTAAACACTAGTAAGTGTTGGGGTTTCTGTATAGCTGGTGGCTATACCGGATACAGCTGGGCCATTTGAGTAGGTAGTCACAGCTGGTACTGCATGATAGGTTGTTGCTACCTTAGATACTGCTGGTGCAGTAGCATAAGTGGTGACTACTGGAGCAGAAGCGTAGGTGGTAATGGCAGGAGCAGCATGAATAGTCGTAACACGTGGAGGAGCGTGGTAGGCAGTCGAAACGGCACCACCCACAACAGGAGCTGACACGGCATAGCCGAGACCCTGTCCGACGCCAAAACCGGTAACGCCAGAGTAGCCGATACCATGACTCAATGCATAGGTAGTATATCCGGGTCCATAGCTTCCAGGGACAAGAGCGGCAAGGGCCCTGGTAGTCAAACCAAGGATGAGGTATAGGTAGAGCTGCAAAGAGGAATATATTTCGTAAAAAAAACGTTCAATAAGAAGTCAAATTGTGCAAAAAAGCTACCATTTGGGAACAAAATGTATTTGTGTGCAATGTTTTCGATGCAGTTTGGAGATGCATCGTAACAAATAACCACACTAATAGCCTGTCTTTAGCACAAATGTGGAATGATGACTGAAATTTCGCGGTCATATATTTCAACACTTCATATTCATAAAAGCGCACTTCATCTACATTTGCTTGGTTAGAGAGATTACTACTGCCGATGAATCTGTTCCTTCAGTTACTTTTCGCTTGATGTGTATTCTTTAAAAATCACACATGAATACCTAGAAAAAGCTTTCGTTTTCTAGCAGCTGGCATTACTGGGTAATAAATGGCGAATAACTGACATTTCGTTAAAATTCACGCACATTTATTTCAGTTTGGGCAGTAATGTGTTAGATAGTAATAAAAACATAGGCAACAGCTTCAAAGCTATTACACAGTTATAAATTACCTCCATTTATTTGAAAAAGCAAATGATGGTACTTCGTAACTTTCCTCCAAGAATAGGTATGTGTCAATAATAGGCAATGTTCAAAGTTTCCCAAGTAATTAGGCATGTACTACAATGTGGAGTCACAATTCCTAACCGCTTTCCAGTTCGTGATTCGCTTTAATGAGTACCTTATATTCCCAAGCCATAGATGAAGCCGGAAGCGAACGAACTGCGTATGCATTATGCTAAAGAGCAAGCCTCCACAGAATTTTTTATCACCTCACGACACACTTCTCCCTTCATGCATAGCTTATGGCTAGTATAAATATGATTAACGACGTTTACAGCAAATACGGCGCACCTACCATTCCTTTTGTTGAAAGAGCAGTCAGTAGAACCAGGAGCTGCTGAAGCAGCGTCCTCTTCTTGCTCTCGTTTTATACCTGTGGCAAGAGTGAAAGAAAGAGACACACACCACAAGAAGAGAGAGCTGCATTGCAGACATGTATTTCGTGAAGAGTCATGTGTGTGAATCCAACAAATGCACCTCACGGCAGCAGCATCTAACTAAGCAGTATCCGGTTCCAAAGGGCTTCTTCTGCGCTGCGATCAATTCAAGAAGGCCAGGTAAAGAAGTTTAACCTGTTGCGCAACTCTGGCAAGTGGACAGAAGAGGAAAAATGCTCACGCCCTGAGCTCCGGTTTTTCTTCTGTTCTTCAAGGCTAACGATGATCTAAGATAATGCGTGAAACAAGTGGTTTGTTATTTAATTGGTAAATTCACACTTTAGTGCAGTCGTGTTATATTATGTGTATAAGATGAGGGTTGAAAGACAATTATACCAGGAAAGATATACGCGATAATATGAGAGGTACTTCAATTGTAAATGTGAAGGGTGAAAAGTGTATAAAAGATAACTTGCCGTGAGCAGGAAACCGAACCTGCGACCTTCGAATAACGCGTTCGATGCTCCACCAACTGAGCTGAAACAGCGGCTATCCCGCCATTCAGTTTATTTGGCGTTTATGTGCATTTAACGTGAGAGCGTCAGTCAACGCTCGGACGGTGATGACTCAGTGTCTACGAGTGGATGGAAGAGATAACAGTGCAGAAGAAAGTCAGTGGCTATGGGTGGTACTGACGAACGCTACCACGTTTAATTCACATGCATACCCAATAAAGTGGATGGGGGGATAGCGGTCGTGGCAGCTCAGTATGGTAGAGCATGGATTGCGTTATTCTAAAATGGCTGCTTTGGATTTGTCCATGGCAGCTTATCGTTTCGTCCAGTTTTCTTTCTTCATATTTACAATACAATTACTTTTGATATTATCCCCTATACATTCATTGTCAGTAATTGTTCTCACACTCATTATTATGGTTTCCCACAAAGAAAACGAGCCTTCAAGTTGACCTAACCTTCTTTCCTTCATTACATGTATAAGAACACTCCAATGTATTTGGTGGTGGGTGCATTTGCAACGTATTCCTTAATGCTGAGCTCCCATTACAGCACATGGAATGAGGATAGAGGTGCCAGATGAATTATTGAATAAGCATGATCCTATATCCATGAATGCGTTCTACGGTTACTGGAGTTCTTATTCGATATGTTATGTCGCACGATGTGATAAGCCCTCCTTGCTAGTTCGGCTTACCCGTACGACTTAGACAACAAAATAAGCCACCCTGAAAACATTCTTCAACACCACGACTTGCTCCCACATAAAGTCGGTCGGCTAGAAGTACCGTCATTTCTTTAAATAAATATACATTTTTTAGTGCGCAGGCAACGTTTCAGAAAGCAAAAAAAAAATATAAGACTAAGCGTTATTCGATCTTTCATCTTCCTGGAACGTTCCCTGTGCACTAAGACAGTATATTTACTTCAAAAATGCAATACCAACCAGTGCAAGTAGTAACTATTTATAAGCAACCATGTACACATCTAGAAGTACCCATGCCATACGTCGCAGGCTTACTGAGGGAGCAAGACCAAGTGTATAGAGTAGATCGTGAAGCAGAATGGTCGAGAGTGCTGACTGGAGCTCGGGATCATTTTAAAAGCTATAGCTCAAGGAAAGTCTAACCGTAGCCATTAGTCATTTAGTTCAGTTGTGTTTGGCATCAGCATATGTCGTGAATACAATGGTACAAAGAAGTAGTAGGTATTCAGCTTTGACATCAAAATGATTATCGCTGTCTTCTTTTGACAGATTAGCAGGAAGGAAGAAAAGAAAAGAAAAGCAGGGAGGTGAACAATGGAAGTGGGGAGAAGAGGGTGAGAGACTCTGTTGGCGTGATTAAATTGAATGAAGTGATCAATAAGTTGGCCCAAGCGTGTGTTGTGGTGGTACTACACAATAGTCAAAGGCGTTCAACAGGCATGTAGTCCTTAAAAGGCCACTCACCAGGCCCAATACCCAATTTTAGTTAGACCGCAGAAGTTGTTGGGTGTCCGATAAAAAACGTTTCACCACAAACATTTTTTTGAGTCGGTTCATTACGAGCTGAGAAAACTGTTTTCTTAGAGCGGCGAGAAACAAGGATGAGAGAAGGCGAGCTCTAAACCCTTGCCGCTCCTCCGCGTAGTTTTCGCAAACCAAATCTCATCCCTGCTCTTTCCTATATGCGACCAAGAGGTCACGTGCGCATGATGTAACCAAACAAGCCCAATCCCCGTGCGCGCGAGGGGCTTTCTTTTAAGTAATAATAATAATAATAATAATAATAATAATAATAATAATAATAATAATAATGTTGTTGTTGTTGTTGTTGTTGTTGTTGTTGTTGTTGTTGTTGTTGTTGTTGTTGTTGTTGTTGTTGTTGTTGACCATGCAGTGTTATTTCGTGTCGTGGTCTGCTGCCTGTTTCTGCGGGATAATTCGGAAACGCTGACTTAGACGCAGTAGAATCGATGAGCACAATGAATGCGCGAACGCGTAGGAGTGTTCCACGTCTGTCATCTGCTTGATGCGCTGACAGCGGAATCGCGGGGACACAAACGCATGCGAAACGCCGGCACACTATCCCGGCATATCGTTGCGATTGACGGGGAAAAAGTGTAAAAAAGAACGCTCACATTTTCTTATTGTGCCTCATTATTTATTTAGAGACCTATAATTATCTTCAAGCAACAAGTACAGAAATTACGCATATTGTGTTGAATAATTTTCCCCGTGTCATGTTCTACTGTTGCAACACTGATCTCTATTAGAAAGCTGGATGGCAATCGAGCACGTGCAGTTGAAGCTACCGGAAGACGCCATTGGTGTCCCGGAAGCAACCGCCATGAACAGTCGTGTGCTGCAGGCGCGAAGGTATGGTGGCTAGCGAGGGCTTTTCTCTTCTTTTAGGGGCGAAGCTCCTTAAAGCGGCACCCGTTCGTTCTTCGTAGTAGTGCGTAACCAGTCTTACGCTTTGACCTGCAAGGAGGTGCTGGTGGGAGACTTCTCCTGTGCATTGTTGAACATTAAAAAAATTCGCAGCGTGCGCGTTAACTAAAAGCCGAATTCGCTTGTCTCTCATTCCCCATTAGCAGCCATTGGCACGTACATTAAGCGCTATCTGACAAGAAAGGGTTGCTATGTTATACTCACTGGGCGTAACCTTCTTGGTTTTAAAAAGGTTGAGCGAGCGTTGGGCTGCAGTGTTGTGAATACAGTGAACTAGTATATACCATGCACTCGAGGTGGTTAAAGGTGGGAAGTAGACACAAAGTGCAAGCCGTAAGAAAGTGTGCGTGTGCCACCTCTCGTTTAGTCCTTGGAATGTCCGCTAGATGAACGTGCTTCTATATGCGGTATATATGATTAAAAGATGCGAGATGGTGGTACTTGGAGTGTTGACCAGATGGACAAACGGACTCAAAGACAGATGCATGGACGGATGCACGGATAGCTGCACAGACGGATGGATGCATGTACGGACGCAGGGGCGGATGGATGGACGAACGCAGGGATGGACGCACGGATGGACGTGTGGACTGCACGAACAGACACACGCACGGACGGGCGGATAGACGCAAGGAATGTCCCACAGACGGACGCAAGGACAGACGGAAGCAAGAACGAATGGACGGATGGATGAATACAGTGAACTAGCATATATCATGAACTCGAAGTGGTTATAGGCGGGAAGTAGACACGAAGCGCAAGCCGTAAGAATGTCTGCGTGTTGCCTATCGTTTAGTCCTTGGAATGTCCGCTGGATGGTGGTGCTTCTATATGCGGAATATAGGATGAAAATATACGAGATGGTGGTACAATGATGGTTGACCAGATGGACGAACGGACACACAGACAGATGCATGGACGGACGCTCGGATGGCTGAATGGACGGGTGGATCAACGCACGGACGGTCACACAGACGTATGCAAGGACGGACGGAAGCAAGAACGAATGGAAAGACAGATGCTTTTCCCCACTCTCCATCATTCACCCTATGGATATGCTGCCACTTTTAAAAATAATATGCTGGCCTGCAGAGAGCATTGAACTTTGCAAATCAGCCGTAAATGTCGTCGCGAATACATTTTACTCATAAGTATTTTAAAATTACATTCTTCTTTACGCATTCTACGAGAAAACTTTCTTTCTAAAAATTTTTCCTGCCTGTTTGTTTTTCTTCAAGGCGCGTTGAAGGTGTTGGTTTTTTTTTTTTCGGTATGCACTTTCCCATGCTCGAGGCCTCCAATATATGAGAAGTGGGTCAGTAACGTAAAGAGGGACAACTGGACACCGTCTCCAAGAAGCCGAACTTGCGGTGACCATTTTGCAGAATTATGTTTTGACCCCTTGGTTCCAAAAACTAATCTATGAAATGATGTCCTCCCAACGTTGTTTTCTTTCCCGGATCACTCACAAAAGATAAACCTTTGTGCTCTAGAAGACCAGTGCACTCATTCACCGCTCATTTTCTTTTTGTGAAAAGGAATGCCGCGACAATTTTAAGTGCGAATGCACTTTATAAGCGACCCTGAATCCGCCGTCCGCAATGCGCTTCCTTCTCTCCCCTACCTTAGCAACGGCGCGAGGAGCGAAGAGGAGCGTCTGTAGCAACGGCGCGGTGCCGTCACACACCACGTGATTGCACGTGCTCCACCCTCCACTCCGTGGCTGCGCGCGCCACGACTTGGTCGAGATCGGCAAGTCGTCATAGGTATGGATCCATCGCAGGCATCAACCTCGACTGCGATACCTCCAACATCGCGTACAACGCAATCGAATTCGAGCATGCGTGGTTCAAGATGTCGCGCCGGTTAAAGACAAGGCAGTGCGGCGAAGGGCCCGTGATGCCGAGCGCAAGCGGGTGAAGCGAGTTGCGTACATAAACATCATTGTAGTGCGAATTTACTGTCACGTATACACGTAAACTCGCCAAGA